TGTTTCCCAAATATATTCATCTGATCCACAACATAATGATATTGTGCACAAGGTATTCAATTCTCACAGATTAATAACTAGTTCCCAAAATATGAATATCTTGTCTGATAAAAAAAACACTTATGGGGAGATGGTGGTCTAGGGTTAGGTCGTGCCCCATGTATGGAGGTTTAGTCCAGGTTCAAGTCTGACCTTGGCTCCTTTCCTGCATGTCTTCTCCACTCTCTCTCCACAAGTTCCTACTCTATCCACTGTCCTATCAGATGAAGGCTAAAAGCTCAATAAATAAATCTTGAAAAAAAAGAAACCTGTGACTGAAAGATGAATATCATGTGTGCCAAAGATAAAACTTGTATCTACAAAATGATTGATTTATGCCCACAAGATAGTCGTTCCCAAAAGACTAGTATCTTAACTTGTTCCTCAGGATGTGTTAATGTGCTAACAAGATAAATAACTGTTGGTCATTTGGATCCATTACTGATGATTTATAAAGAAACTCTATATTTAGGGTGTATGCATGTTTTAAACCACGTTATGAGTTTGTTATTGTAAAGTGCTTTTTGTGTTTTGTTTGGCCTCAGGATCCTGCTTTGTTTGTTGCTTGCATCTTAATTTCAATGTGTTGAAATATGCTGAGTCATGTCCTGTTCTGATATGTTTCCTGCTGATTCTCGTATCCATAAGGCTGATGATGACGATGAAGGTGAAGCTGTGACGTACAGCACTGTGAGAGTTTCCTCCCTGGTGCTGAAGCCTCCGTTGATCCCAGCGGCCTCTATGCCCTCAACAAACCAAACAGGAGAGACAAACGGATAGTTATCATGTCATTAACTGATATCATATGTATATCTTAAGAGAAGAGTTTCATACGCTCACTTGGTACTTATTGCTTATTCTATTATTTCCATGTTTATTTAATATTTTATGTATATATTTATTAGAATGTATTTAAATTCCATCAAGACTGAGATCATTTTGATTGGACCACAGCACCTGACTAAGCAAGTATGCATCTGCTGGTACCCTAGTAGACACATCAAACCTGCTTCTAAACATCTGGGTGTCTGGTTTGACAGCAACTTAAATTGAGCAGCTCACAACAAAGCTTGTACAGTCTTGTTTTTATCAGCTCAGAAATATTTCTAAAATGTTTAGATTTTAACTGCTAAAGACACAGAGACGATTTTACATGCTTTTATCTCATCACGTCTTGACTTTTGTAAAGCCTTTTTACTTACCTGAACAAAAAAATCTATCGATGGACTGCAGTTGGTACAGAACTCAGCTGCCAGACTTTAACTAGAACCAGAAAGCATGAGCAAATCACTCCTGTTTTAGCATCTCTACACTGGCTCCTGTGTGTTTTAGAATTGATTTTAAGATTTTACTGATTACTTTTAAAGCTCTCCATTCCCCAGCTGTTTATCAGACTTTTACTTCTACAAACCCACGTGCAGCATTGAGATCCTCGGGCTGAGGTCTCCTGGTGGTTCCAAATGCAAAATTAAAAACAAAAGGGTTAGGGTCGACCTGCCCGAGGAGATAGGTCGGCAGAATCACTCATCTCTTTAAGTCCCTTCTTCTTAAGACACACTTTTCCGGGAGCCTTTCCTGATGTTTGTTGATTTGAAATTGTTACTATTTTCACTTTTTAGAATTCCTTTAAAAGAATTGTATTCAGTTTTTTAAAAAGGATTTTATATTTTAATGATTTTTATTCTTAATCTTTCCTTGTTTGATATTCTATGACCTGCCTGTTTTTATATTTGTGTCCTTGTAAAGCACTTTGTTTTTGAAAAGTGCTCTATAATAAAGATTATTATTATTATTATTATTATTATTATTATGCATGTTTCATTCACCTTGGAGACTTTGTGGATATGTTAGTAGTGTTGCAGTGATTGAAATCGGTCTTAGTCTCAAGACCCGTCTCGTATCAGACCACTTTTTGAAGTCTCGCTATCGTCTCTGAATCTAAAGCATTTTTACCCGTCTTGTCTCGGCCTCAGACCGGTGGACTCCAGATTTTAAACAAGACTACCAATGATCTGCAAGAGAAACTGTAACAAGATAATCTCCTCCTGGGATTAATCAATACTTCTGATTTGTGCGACTGATATGTTTGAAAGATTTAGAACTTCATTGTTCTTCTGTGTATTACTTTTATACAGAGACATTCAATCTTTATGTTTAAGGTCTTGTTAGATTTTTTTCTTTATCTTATTAAAAGTTTCTGTTTTCATTTCTATCATCACTAAAATCTCCTCACAGGAGCTTTAACCAGCTCAAGCATCAATGCATGACGAAGGAGGGGATTGGTCAGGTTTAAGACTCAAGATCTCTGCTACCACCTGCTGGATAGACCTGAAATGCTGTTATGAGCACATTTTTCCTGCAGCCCAAGAAGCTCTGATCTCCTGTGTTGAAGAGGAGTCAAAGGCGCAGTACAAATTGTAACAAGAGTCAGAGATAATAATAATAATAATGCTGATAATACTACATTTATTTATGTAGCGCTTTTTAAAACACTTAAAGACACTTTACAGATTTACATTCAGACAAAAACAAGCTGAGGAAACACAAAAATTAAAACAATGTCCCAGGTTGTTTGAAGGTCAGGAGAAGGACTTTGAACTCGATTTGTTGGGGAAACGGGAGCCAGTGGAGGTTGTGGTGGCCAGGGTAATGTGGTCACAGGAGCGGGAGTGTGTGAACAAACTGACAAGTTGTGAAGTGTATTGAGGACTTTGGATGATAACCATAGAGAAGTCTATTACATTAATCAATCCTGAGGCTCAGCGTTCATTGAGCCCAGGAGGTTTTGTCCCGGCACCAGAGGCCGGGCTCTCCAGTAGACGGAGCTCCTCCAACCTTCAGCGAGGTGATCTGGCACTACCACCACCGACGTCCCTGACGCCCAGTGTTACGCCGCTACACAAACCCACCGCTAAATGCTATCCTAGCGCCTGACGCTAAGGCCAGTGAGCCCGTAACTTAATGCCTCTCCTTACGTGTTGCGTAAACGTGAAGGTGTATCCTGCCTTACCTGAGTGTGTGTGCATCTGTCCTGTCTGTTTGAGGGGTGCGTGTAGGTGACTCACCTCTAAGATCCTCGTACGTGCCGCGACCAGCTCACTCGGACAGCCGATCCACGGAGTCACTTGGGGTACGATCTCCTCCACCAGCCCTCTCCTTCATATCAGTTTAGTTCATGTGTAAAAAGAACCCGTGAAGTGTTGAAACAAAAACAAACGTTACTTCAGGTTCAGTCTCTCAGGTGTCTACGTCCTCGCGTCTTCCTCGTGGCGTCTCTTTGACTCCAAACCAATTTCGCGGAATGAATGATTACAGAGACAGAGCCACCACACCCCCCTCAGGTGTGTCATCAGTACTGACCCTGCTTCTCCTCCTACCAACCACGCCTACTGCTAAAGACCCTGAAGTGAATCCTCCTAACACATTATCATAACACCCAGCCTCCACCATCGGATTGTTTCATCCCCACAACCTCCGCCGTCCTCATTCATGCACGGCCTGCTCCGACCTCCACCTCAGCGGAGAGGAAGTGAGAACAACAGGAACGAGAGGAATACAAAGAAATCATTCCTGCATCTCATCCCCTCTCCCCCATCCCATTTTTCTTAACAATGAAGAATATTTTAACTGCTTTTTGTAAAGCGCCTCGAGATAAAACTTGATATGATTTGGCACTATACAATAATGATTGATAGATTTGAAGGAGCCTTCCAAATGGAACAGCCCTCGATGCCCCGCTGTGATGTTATCAGTCTTCAAATGCGCCAAAGGGAAGGATGCAGCCCTTTAAATGTTACATAGCTCATGTACCAACACTGTACCAACTCTGAAACCTTTTCTCATGAGTTCTCACAAAGAAAAAAAAACGAGTCGCAATGAGGAACAAACGTTTCTCAAACCGCTAAAGATATCACCCCTCCCATTGGTCAGCATACAGCGCCATGAGCCGGAGGCATCACATCCGTGTTGGGATGTTTTCCAGAGTTCAAGAGAGAATAACAAGATGAAGCGAAAAAAAGATTGAAGTTGCTCAGAGGAAGTAAAAAAGAGAAGTTGAAGCTGTAACTCTCTATTTAGAGTGTTTGAGAGTAAAGGGTGTGTGAACGAGAGAGAGCACGAAGTGAGATCCGTCACTTCAGAAGGATTAAAATGTCTTTATCTGTGATACTGATGCTTCTGTTTACAGGTAAGAATTTACTAAAAAAACACATCCACCAATAAGATGCACTGCAGATGTTTTTAAACTATTTAAATGGATGACATCGATTTCAGTCAGATACCTAAGTTTACTCTCTCTTTTGCTTCTTCTTACAAAACTATTAAATTAACAAATACAAATGACTATTTATTGATTTTATATTTCTCTTTAATTTTCTTCAGCTGTAACTGGAGATGATACCGCCTCCCTCACAGTCAGACTTGGACATGATGTCACTTTGCCATGTGAAATGTGATTAAAGATCAGCAGAAATGTGACAGTCTTCTTGGCTTTTCAGTCGTTATATTGGGAGCACAGCAGTAGAGCTGGTTACACTCGGGAATATAAGTAAAAATGAGAAAGCTAAAGCTAAAGCTAAAGGCTAAATGTTACAGAGGATTGTTCTCTGGTTATTAAAAGTGTCACACATGACGATGTCGGTCGTTACACCTGCAGACAGATCAGATCAGGAGAACAAGTTTCAGAAGCTCGTGTGTTGCTGAATGTTATTAACAGTAAGTGTTGATATGAATATTTTCATCTCAGATTCTCTTGTTGAAACATTATCCTGAAACATTGGAATAAGTCTATAAAAATGTGTGGAAGTTAAACTTACTCTTGTGTTCTCTCTCTCACAATATCTTCACCAGGTACCTCGGACGATGCCTTCAGGTTTTACTGCTCTGTGTTCAGATTTGGAGACTGTGCCCACACAGTGCAGTGGTATTATAAGGGTGATGAAACAGATATATCAGACCACCAACAGTTAACCTGTACAGCTATTGTGTCATTTAAAACTCCTCATGTTGTTCAGAAGTCAAACTTTAATGAGTTGCTGTATTGTAAAGTAACAGACAATAAGAGTGGACAAACACTGCTGTGTAATGCCTTCTCTAAGTCCTCCTGTGAGAAAACAGGTACGTCTGGTTTTACTTGATTCATTATTTAGTTAAAGTGCTGAACTCTGTTTTATCATCATATCTTCTGTTTTGTTTATTTATATCACATTCAAAAGACACAACAGGAAGCACATCAACAGGAGGAAACGAGATAACGGAGGACGAAACTCTGAAGAAACCAGGTAGAGTACAGACCACATTCACACAGCGGCCATTTTCCTGTGATGTCACACTCAGGCTGGTGTAAATGATATCACGTTGTACTGCTTTGTTCAGTGAAGCTCTCAATTCAATTCAATTCAGTCAGCTTTATTGGCATGAATGTGAAAATATCTCCATGGCTTATAAGAACAAATACTACAAAAATAATAACTACTAAAGATATTTTAACAAGAGGATTAATCATAAATATGAATAAACATCTCAAATATAATACAAAACAAATTAAAGAAATAAAGTGTAATTACATTTTTTTCCAATTGCTAAAACACAATTTTGCAAACTAGGCTGGTTTTATCAAAATACTTAACACAATTCACAAAACCACAAACTGCAAAATACCTCACATATCCTGCAAAATGAAGCACTGCAACCAAAACTACATATAGCATTATCAAAATCAAACTTTTGCACCAAATGGCCCACACTTCATTTATATTACCAGATTGTTGTCTAACCAACTACACACTGTTGGGCATAATGAAAAGCACTCTCATCTTTAGTATGCTTTGCCATAATACTAAAATAGTTCAAATTGTAGAAAATTCTTCAGATTGTTCACATGCACAGAAATATTTGCAGATACACACACATGCTGTTGAAACATTTATTTTTTCACCAAACAAGTCAGTGCTACATATACCAGGACAGTAAAACAGCTCAAGTTGGGCTGCACTCTGTCCAGCCTCTCACATTGTCAGCCCATGGTTGATGACATGATCAACTAAAGTTGCTCTGATTTCATTTGAAAGTTGTTTTCTTCTTTGGCCATGAACTCCTCTACCAGCTCTACCCCTACCTCTCACTCTTCCTCTACCAGCTCTACCCCTACCTCTCACTCTTCCTCTACCAGCTCTACCCCTACCTCTCACTCTTCCTCTACCATCTCTATCCCTACCTCTCACTCTTCCTCTACCAGCTCTACCCCTACCTCTCACTCTTCCTCTACCAGCTCTACCCCTCCTCTCACTCTTCCTCTACCATCTCTACCCCTACCTCTCACTCTTCCTCTACCAGCTCTACCCTACCTCTCACTCTTCCTCTACCAGCTCTACCCCTACCTCTCACTCTTCCTCTACCAGCTCTACCCCTACCTCTTCCTCTTCCTCTCTCTGCAACCTCTTCCATTGTTGTTGTAAAAAAAAGGTGCTCACTTGTGGTCTTTTCATAGTGCTTACTTCCTGATTGAAGAGATAACATTTAACCATTGAGGTTTTTGGCCAATTAGCTCATGTAGTGTTATTTTGAATGGCAGTGTTTTGAAATGGCAAACATGTGACTTTATGTCTGATTGTTGTGTCTTATACAGAGAACCATGTTCAGTGCATTTAAAAAGTGCCATTTTGAATTGCAAAATGTGTGTAAAGCAGAAAATGTGTTTAGACTTTTGGAGACTTGAGAAGAGGTTTTGCTCTCTGTGTGTCAGTTTAAATAATTGTTCTATGCATTTCATTTTAGTGTGTTAGCAATTGGAAAAAACTGTAATTGTTTTATAGTGTGTGTGTGTGTGTGTGTGTGTGTGTGGTGTGTGTGTGTGTGTGTGTGTGTGTCTGTCTGTGTGTGTGTGTGTGTGTGTGTGTGTGTGTGTGTGTGTAACATTGTTGTGGTTGTTTGTGCCTCTGCCGTTAATCCAGTGATGGAGTGGTCCTTCCAAATGAAACACCCAGTAACCTCCAAGTTACTTTTTAAACATATAATATGTAGAATTTTATTAGAAAGTTTACATTTGAATATCTAAATTACAATGGGGAAGCAGAGAGGACTCCCATGATTCTCTGCCAGCCTCAACTTCATCTTTAGTCATTGTTTTGATTGAGAGCCCCCTGGTGGCAGAATTTACATACTGTGCCTTAAAACGATACACCATGACAACCAGAGGACTTTAAACCTACTAGGAGCTTGGTGTAAGGTTTAAGTTGTGATGTCTGCCCACGTTGGAACTATCTTCAGCTCTTGTAAAAACATTAAAAGTGCCGATCCTGACTTTGAATTGAACAATCACTGCAGTTTAAATGATTTGAATGTTTTTATTCTCATTTTCAGGTTGGATCAGGTTCATCATTGTGTCTGTGGGACTGGCAGTACTCATAATCATTTTTGTGACGATCAGCATATGGGTGAGAACTAAAGGTGAGAAACCTTTTAAAATGTTATTAGTTTGACTTGGTTTACAATGTGAAAACTAAATTTTACTCTTTTGTCTTTACAGAGAACAAAACGCAGATGGATCACAATGCTGTGAGTTAAAAAACTAAATGATCAGAAGCTTGTTTTTCAGATATTTCAGAGATAACTGTTCTTTAAATAGAGTAAAACTACAGTTTTTAAATCTAAGAGGCTGAAGGATAGAGGGATGTATTATCGTGTCTTTATCTGAGTAAATCAAGTTTGTAGCTTTTTCTTTTCACAGGTTGAAAATGATGAAGGTGAAGCTTCAGTAATCTATGAAAACTATGGAGGTCATGATGCTTCTGTCAGATTCCAGTGAACAACAACGTCAGGATCAATATCACCTGAAAAGAGAAGAAAACATGAAGATGAAGGAAAGACGGGCATCATTTTCAGTGTTTTTTAGCTGACAAAGTTTCTTCTAGTTTAACAACTTCAGATTTCTTTTTTTAAGAAGGGGGGGGGGGGGTATTTATGACTTGATCTGTGAGTCAGGACAGTGGATAGAGTCAGAAATCAGGCAGAGAAATAGAGTGGGGAATGACATGCTGGAAAGCCGCCACAGGTTCCCGGGCCGCCCGCTTTGAGGACTATGGCCTCTTTACATAGTACATAGTAACCACGCAGACGACCACCACGCAGTACAGTAACCACGCAGTAACCACACAGTAACCACGCAGTAACCACAACCACGCAGTAACCACACAGTAACCACGCAGTAACCACACAGTAACCACACAGTAACCACGCAGTAACCACGCAGTAACCACGCAGTAACCACGCAGTAACCACGAGGCTAAGATTTCAAACCTCTTGTTAAAGCTTTGCCATAGCTTGTAAGGTGCAGCAGTAGCTCAGTCTGGAGGGACATGAGGCGTGCACTCTAACCACGAGGCTATTGGCGCCCCAACAACTCCAGATTTGTATTAAAGATTTGAAACATGTTGTTCAACATTTTCTGTAGTTTCTGTGGGACGTCAGTAGATCAGTCTGTATGAACTTGTTGGAAACCAGAGGGTTGTCTGCTCAAGTCCAGGTGCGGATCAAAATATGGAAGTTGGTTGCTGGAGAGGTGTCAGGTCACTTCCTGAATACTGCAGAGGTGCTCTTGAGCAAATCACTGAACCCCCAAAAGATCTGGTGCGCTCTAGATGTTGTTTAACATACAGTATTTATGGTATCAACAAAACTGCTGCATTTGTTTTATTTTAGCTGAAACGGTGTGTTCGCCTATCTGTGTATTTATTCACTGTTGTGCTAGCTCACTTTCAGTTAACTGCTTTCACCATCAGAACGACCAATGTACCTGCTGTTGAATCAAAGTCTGGGCACTGGCTTTCTTCTGTTTAAGTAATAGCTGCTGATCTTATATCAGAGATCTGCTTCAAAGGCCAAACCACACGGCTCCCTTGTGACGTCACCACATGGTGCATTTTCTCTCTCTGCCTCCCAAACTCTCTCTCTCTCTCTCTCAGATGGACATACACTCACATGTGCCCCTTTGTTTGCTTGTATATATTTTGTTTGCTGTAGTTTAGTTTATGATATTTATTTGTTTGATTGAGTTTCATTGATTGCAGTTGTTGTTGCTTTGTTAAATAAATTCTGTTATAATTCAAAGTGCAGTTGTCTGTTATGACTGGTGTATGTACATTGTGATATAAGCGCCTGCGAGGGCAGATTTGAGCCTTCCATTTATTTAAATACAGGTATTTATTAACAAATAGTAATATTGGTATTTAACTAATTCAATTCGAGACATATTTTGTTTCATTTGGTTATTGTTCCCTGATTTCAGGGTGGTGCCCCGTTGTTATCACACTGTCAGTGTGTGTGTGGTTGTCAACATGTGAGCTATATCTCAGAGTGGAATCAAAGAAACAGGCTCCTCGATCCGTTGGCCCCTTCCCAGTCTCCAAGGTAATCAACACAGTGGCTGGTCACCTCCAGCTCCCTCGTGCCATGAGGATCCACCCCAAATCCCAAAAGTGCAATTTTTGCTACTTTGAAATAAGTCATTTACAGCAATCTTTTTTTACTGGCCCATTCTGCCAGTAAAGGAGGTGGCAGGCAACAGGTTTGAAAAGATTTTTGTTTATTAGTTTAATTGATTCTACGTTGATGTTTGAATTGATAATGTAGATTAATAATATGTATATTTATAATAAGAATATCGTTGAATCAAAAAGGTGTTCCTCTGTTACTTGGAGTTGAGAAACTTCAAAAGCTTGACTAGTTACACTTCCTGCCCTGCAGTGACTCTGACCACAGAAGCCAGATCATTCAGAGCTGCCACTGATGTGAGATAGATAAACACTCTGCTCAAACATGCTTATTTCATACATACATAATAAGCTCATCCGTATATCATGTATGCATGAGTATGTGTCTGTACGCATGTATTTATGTATATACATGAGATTATGTTTGCATGTTAAGGTGTTTAGTGTGATTTTATATGTATGTGCAGGCAAAGTATTCATCTTTAGTGTTTCGTACTGTCTATGTCTGGTTCCTGTGGTTTTTCTTATGATATTTACCTGTTTTGTGGGTGTCAGATTGACCTTGTTTTCTTTGGAAATTAGCTTTTTTTTAAACTTTTTAAAACTGGACTTGGCGTCTTTGTTCTGAACGCTGAACAATACAATTATTTCATATATGATTTAAAGATGTAATATTTGATTTTAGATTAACGTCTCCAGCTTGATTTTAAGAGCTTTATGATGCTCATCAGGTATCTGTGAAAGAGATCAAACCTGCACAGCTCTGTTGATGTACCCACGTTCACACGCAGACACTTCCCTCTCTCAGTTCTCAGAAGAGAATAACCCACAGCAATGAGGAACAACAACCCACCTAACCCAAGTGTCACCATCCTGTACTCTGTGGCTGAAGCATCACAGTCTAGTCATTTTCAGAGACAGAGTTTGAACCCTGCTGAGACTCAGCCTGGTCCAGAAACCAGTCCGGAGAGGGTGAGAAGACAGTGACACACTACACCCAGTTCAGAGTTAAGGCCTTTGCACACTGAGTCCGTTACTTCATCCACAGTGGGATTCTGGTAAATAAAAAATCCCCTCCCCTCCCCTGGTATCTCCATCCATGGACTCCACTCAGGTCCTCCATTTTGATGATGAGTGATGTCTACTGAAGGCTCCTTTCAGATATAATCTCCTGACATTTTAAGCTTGGGGGTGAAAGGTCACAGGGGTGGGATAATAACTTGTTCCCAAAATATATTCATCCTGTTCCCACAACATAATGATATTGTGCACACAAGGTTTTCAATTTTCACAAGATTAATAACTAGTTCCCAAAATATGAATATCTTGTCTGACAAAAAAACAACTTATGGGGAGATGGTGGCATCATTTAAATTAAGTAATATGCAGTATTAGTTTTTAGAGTGAAGATTGATATTTTTTTCTACTTTTTTTTTGCATAAATCTCTTAAACATCTCCAACCCTGCTCAAAACTAAAAAACATTCAATCATTTTTAGGAATTTAACCCTTTAAATGCCAGTTTGATTACTTGATGTCACTGCTGTTATTTATGAGAAAAACCCCGACAAAAAATAGTTATGCATTGTTATTTTTTGTGTAGCATCAGATTTAAAATGTAGTTCCCTGTTTGGACACTGGAGGGCGAAAATATCCAATTTACAAAAACTGCTATAAAATAGAACAGATTGATATTTCTTTCCACTTTTTTTTTGCTTAAATCTCTTAAACAACTCCAGCCCTGCTCAAAATTATCAAATATTGAATAATTATCAGGAATTTAACCCTTTAAATGACAGAATCATGTAATCAAACTGGCATTTAAAGCGATAAATTCCTAAAAATGATTGAATGTTTGTTAGTTTTGAGCAGGGCTGAAGTTGTTTAAGAGATGTATGCAGAAAAAATGAAAAAAAATGATCAATCTATTCTATTTTTATATTCTACAAACATCGAGAGAGAAACCCACTAATCGTTACAGCCGGGGATCAAACCGGCTGCTTCCTGTGACAGGTGTCATCGAGGCCGTTTGGACGTCATCACAACCCGTTTAGCTTCTTCATCACTGTAACCCCAACGAGCACCTTCTTTTAAAAAAATCTTTACATGTGCCCCCCCCCCACACAGAGAAACCCTTAGCTTGTGCGTCTTTCTGCCTTTTTTTAAATCGCAAACAAATAAACATGCAACAAAAAGTTATGTAACAGCTGATTCCAGTTCTGCAGGTTACACATTCCTCGACAGGTGTGACCGAACACCTTTTGTCTTCAAACAGCTGACTCCTGCTTTGTTTAAAAGTGAGTCAGTGGTGGTGGATTCTGGGAAAACAACAACTTGAAAACTTGCTGCAAGCTGCACAACAATCCTGTGAAACCCTGGAGATAAAAAACACTCAAAGTGTCAATCAAATCAGCAAAGCAGTCATTTAACAACACTGCTGCTCTGCTATATTTGTGAGGCGGACCCTCCTTCAACCTGCCTAACCTTCCCCGTCACCTGACCCTCCACCTTCACCCTGACCTCCACCTGAGTCAAAGCCCTTAAAAAAAACAAACACATCTTCACCTTCAAACAGCCGTTTGGAGAGGTCAGAACCAGAGATGTCCTCACTCTAAAGGTTTTAAAAACAAACATCAGACGTCCCGGGTGAAGAACATAAACAAGCACACCGTCATATTTACCAGAATAAATACCTCCTACACTCACATTCATCCATTACCTAATGGAAAAAGTGAAGCCTGATTATGAATAACTTAATGTTCTGCTCTCGTGCAAACCGAGTCAAGTGATAATTATCAGGTGGAAAACGTGCGACGTGACGACCACTATTTGCAGCGCCGCTCCCCAAATGAGAGCAAGAGCCAAAGAGATTAAGGCGGTGCATTGGTGTTTTCATGAAAAAAGAAGAATCTTTTTCAGACATCTCAAAATGTGTCTCCTGTCCCATTTTGTAAAATAAATTGTGAGAGAATCGTATGAAGAGCAGCGTGAATCGTTACATCCCTATCAGGAAACAAACAAACCTGATGTCACTTGTAAAATCTCCTCAAAGCGATCAGAAAACAAACAAACAAAGTGTTTCTCTCTGAAAGACAAAAACTCCCTTAAACCTCAGGAGAAGGAAGTTGTTACCATTGTCCTACAGCCGAACGCCATGACGTCTACCTCACCCTGAAACAGATGGATTAGCGTGAAGTACGGGAGAATTACTGTCACGCCTTCCCCTTTAAATAAACCCAGTGTGTGTGTGTGTGTGTGTGTGTGTGTGTGTGTGTGTGTGTGTGTGTGTGTGTGTGTGTGTGTGTGTGTGTCAATACTTTGTCATACGTCTGATAAAGGTTAATCGGGTGATGAAGTTACTGACCCTCGCCCATTATTCACGCACGCTTCTGCACACTCAGCAGCGCCGTCTTGAAGGTTATCCAAAGAGGCGTCACAGCCAGAAGAAGTTCAATTGTTTGGTTTGGTT